GATTGTTGGTTAAAAAACAAAAACAGAAACAAAAAATTGGTGTTTTCTGATTAGGTTGGTTTGTTGGATTATTTTTGTTGAAAATGGATACTGTGGGTTCTTTTTTGGCTTCCCCAACTTTAGCACTGTTGGAAAAGCTTACTAAGGAGCAGATTCATCAAGTAGCTGAACACTTTGAAATTGACCTTGGAGTTGCAAAAGGATTTAAAAAACCTCAATTAAGGAGTTTCTTAAAAGACAAACTTGTACAACTAAATGTCTTTGCTATTTCTTTTTCAGATGCTGATGTGTCAGATGTAACTTCCCGGGGCATAGATTCTTTAACTGGTGCTTCAAAGTTGGATGATGACTCGCCAGGTCCAACGGTGTCTCAAGAGTCTCTACTGTTTTTTTTTGTTTTTTTTTAAATACATTTCTCCAAATTGCAAAATAATAAAAGATAATTCCACACATTAATTATTTATGGTCTTTATTTTAGACTGCTAAAGCTTTGGAAGAGATCAAATAAAAACCAAACAACAAAAAGAAACACACACTCTTGATATGCAAAATAAATAAATCATAAAAAAGAGCTCATGTCTCAAACATTTTCAAGTCTTTGTTAAATAAACTTTAAAATCTCTCAGTAATAAAATAACCCAAAGAAAACCATTAAAGTAAAAAGAAACTTCGGTCCTGCTGCTTTATATTTCTTTGTATAAGGAGGTTTTTAAGTCTTCTGGCTGCTAAAAGATGTACAAATCAGATAAGTGTTAGAGCAGGACGTCACACATTGTTCTTGGCCCCATGTTTGGCATCTAGATACAAACATTTGAAAGACACTAAACAAAAGACGACCCCCATGTCCTAAGAGGATAACATATTCATTATTTTAAGGAATAAATCCTCGACTTAACTGGCATCAGCCAAAACTTCCAGCATAAGGTCCCATGAAAAAACAAAAACACAAATATACATCTTAGCAGTTACAGAAATTCTTTCTGCAAATACTTTTTTTTTTTCAAAATAATCCAATAATATGGGTAAACAAGCCAATACATAACTACAGCTCTTAAATGTTTATCATTCAACTACACAGCCTGATGGGATAAAACCAATTCATTGTCTTTTAGCTTTTAATTGTAAAAACTCCATTGCAAACAATGCAAAAACATATTTCACAAGTCCAGGGAAGAGATAAACATCAATTAGAATCACATGTCTTTTTGCATGCAGAAACAACTGAATAAGAGTTTTTCAATGATTTAATCACCAAATAACCTCAATCTAAATCCCACCTGTCCCATTTCACGGCAGATATTCTCAGATATTTAGGTTAAGTTACAATCAATATTGCAAGGTCTAAGGTCGATGAAGGTTAGGCTGACTGTCTCTCCTCGTTGAACCCCAGCATCAATAATCACACCAGGAAGAGGGTGTGCTTACTTAATGGCTCACAGATCGTTACACAGTGTATTCACTTTGAATAGGATATGTTGGATTTACTAATTTCAGCATTAGGTTAGATGATGTATGCATTTATATTCTGTAGCTACTTCAGTAAATATGTTTATTTTTATTTATATTTCCTCAATGTTTACGTATAAAAATTCAAGCCTCAATTTAAACCAGAAAGTTGTCAATCTGTGCACCTTTGACACATTACTAAACCACCATTATCGTTTTCTAAGGAAGTAAAACAAAGAAAACGGGTTATACAACATAATAAAATAAAAAACTACCAAAGTCTGATTTTACTCCCATGTTTATAAAAAAAGTGTTTTCCTCAATAAATAAATAAATAAAAAGGAGCCTTGTTGTAATTTCTGTTACGCTAAAATATGAGTGCTTTTTATTTTATTTCTGTTTGTATTTAATTAATGCTGATTACACTTTGCCATTTGTTCATTAGTTGTTCAAGTTGTTTTTTTGTGTGCAAATGATTAGGTTTGTAACTTTCCATGCCTAATCTCTCTGCTATTGTAGTTAAAAAGTACAGAAAGCGCTGTTAGAATTATTTCTACCTTTGTGTGATAAACAGGAAGACTATGCAGGTGTCTTTAACCCTGGTCATCAGAACACTCTGCCCTTCATGTTTTAGGCATTTCCATGCCCCTAAAAAAAACTGTCTTCATTAAATAAGTGTTGTACCTCAAAGCAATGTAAATGGCTGCTCATACTGCCTTAAGAGGAGCTTCCTATAACACCATGGACCCATGTGGATCTTCCCAATAAACCCTTATTCACCAACAGATCTCGTGATCCTTCAACATTTGAGAGGACGCCTGAATATCTTCATCAGAACCATGAAAACATAAGGCAGTCCAAATTAGTTTCAAATGGACTCTTAGTTTATTTACTGTTTTTATTGTACTCATCGTTTTAAAAATACGATTTCAAATCCTAGTCTACAAGCATCCTCATTCACATATTCCCCTACATTTTCACGTTATATGTTTACATTATTTATTGGCTGCATCTAAAAAATATCAAAGATATTTTGAATTTAAACATAGATATGAAACAATACAATATAACCTACAATAACTTAAATGATATCCAGTGGCACGGGAAGGGGGGTGCTGCGGGGGCTGCAGCCTCCCTCGTCATAGCATCAGCCCCATAATATTGTACTTAAAAACATGAAATTATTTATGTATTTATTTTTTTAAAGACTGTGTTTGATATAAGATTAAAATGATGGGCTGTGTATAAGATATAAACTAATGATTCATTATTTTAATATTTCATAAAAAACTAGGCTACTCCCGCGGAAGCTTCCGCTACCTCACATTTGTTTAGGCATGTCTAGCAATAGGCAGCAGAAACTTATTTCTGACTATTTCGAGGTAAGAAATGGTTTTAATTCCCCTATACTGCCGCATTTAGCATTATTTATGTTCCTGTTCGTCTTAGTCCTGTGGCTGAAGAAGTCTACGCTAGAATAAGGCTGCATATCACTAAATGTTATGTCTGTATTAAGCTATTTAGTGATAAAATATGAAATTAGTTATTTTCTTTTTTTTGTGTGTTTTTTGTTTCAGATATGAAATCATTTCGCATATCCATAGTCGAATGGACTTTCAAGACGTTCAATGCTCAGTTTAGGCTATATTTAGGCCATGTTTTATTCAAGTATTCCTGATCCTGTTGATTGGAAGCTGTTGTTTGTTTTGAATGATTAAAAGAGAAGAAATAAAGTTTAAAATGTTCATGCTTTGTTCCGATGCATTTTAAATGGCAGTTTTTGGCGACAAATGTAGGCCTACAGTATTATGTTAAAAACGTCAGCCACAGCCCTCAACATAATGACGTCATGTGTTTTCCAACCCAGCCATCAGCCCCCCTCGCTTGAAACAGCTTCCAGCGCGCCTGATGATATCATTGTACTAGGTTATCAAATCCATCATTTTAGTCAAATAAGCTGCCTGTAGTGTCTTTAAAGGTCCAGCAGGTGTCAGTATTCTGTCAGACAGCAATGTGTCATTAACCCATTACTACTAACAGGCCAAGCTAACAGCTATAGAATGCTAGCACTCTTAAACCATATTTTATCGTGTTTTGAGTGTTGTTGATAAAGTTATAAACTATATTTCAATACATGTTTAAAAACTTATATAAAGTCATTCATGTGTTTTTAGATGTGCTTATTATATTGAGTCCTTTAAAATTTGTTTTTGTATTTTTCATTTCTGCTAGCCACCAGCTTATTTGTCTAAAAACATTGGAGCCCTGCACTCCCGCGGGACCCAACGCAAAGCAGTGCGGCGCGGGACAAATATTGAAAGCTCATTGCGGGCGCGGGTGGGAGGGACAGCGCATAGTGCGGGTGCTGGCGGGAGTGGTGATAAGCAGCAGTTCCGCGAACTAAAAACATGTTTTAAAACATAAAATAAAATGTAAAATAAGTCACAAATTGTCATAAAATGTCTATCATATATATACACATCACAATGTGCTGGATATTGCAGCTTGTGCCACCTAACGCGTGTCATGCACTATGCGGTGAAGAATCGGCCAGTAATGTGCTCAGCTAAGCAAAGCGTGTCTGATTCCTCAAACTAATGACACAAATGGCCTTGAGCAGTAGGCGAACGTCGGAATCATGTGGGAATTGCGGGCAGGAGCGAGACAAACTATTACAGGTGTGGGTGGGAGCGGGACTGAAAATCATAATTCTTTGCTGGAGCGGGCAAGCGCGGGACTGGAAAGTCTGTCCCGCGCAGGCCTCTAAAACACATCTCACATCTCTCTGTCCTTAAACAGCGCCCCCTGGAGTTAAAAGTGTCATCTGTTATTTTTTAGGGTTCCTAACCTGTTTTATCTTATCAGGCATTATAACATGATATCAAGAATCAAATGCCTAAACCGTTATCTACGGAAGTTGAGAGCGGTCGTATCCCTTCATACTTTTTTACAGTGGTTTTCTTGAGACAAAAAAAAAGTTAATTTTCTCATTATCTAAAGATAATGAAAGCCGTTATCTCATGATAACAAGAGGATCATTTTCTCAGCTAAAGACGTTTTCTCGTCATAACGAGGTAGTTGGTGTGTGTTAAAACTGATTACATCCTTCACAACAGCAGGAGAGGATTTTTAAGTATAAGTCATGGCAGCGTATAAGTAATGTTAATAATCATGTGTTTGATGATTTGCTTCCACTTATGATTTATAAGCAATTGGACCTATGCCTAAGGTGACTTAGTGCCGGGTGTTTTCTGAAAAGCCCTGCTGTTACGCCTGTAAAAGGTAGAAGATGCATTACCCCCAAAATTAATCCAGATTATAGATTTTATAAAAAAAAAAAAAAAATCAGATTTGTTTCTACTGCATTTCATGCAATCCAATCATCCACCATGATCTGACAATGAGTTAAAAGAAAATGGAAACAAAAAAACGTAATGGTTTAAACGTGATAACAAGATAGTTATGTAATTTTCTCGAGAAGGAAAAGTAAAAGAAAATTTTTATTACGACTGCTCTCGACTTCCGTAGCTGTCGATTGCTTAATAAGCAAATAATTTTTTTTAAATATCATGCTGCCAATTTAATTCCAATTGCTCTTATTTAGATTAAAAGCTCATTTAATTATTCCTCAATTGAAAATCCATCATGAATTGTGTCACCATTGTATTATGCTGTTATTAACGGATTTCAACCATGTTAACTTGTCTTTTCTTCTTTATATACATAATAGCTATTGAGTTTAGTTGAGTTACACTAAGTTATTTAGGTGTTTTTCACTAAAATATGTTTTACCTGGAGTTGAATTTTTTTTTTAAATAAATTCTCACATTTTAAAGGGACTTTATTCCATGTGTATGCAGTTACCGTTTGACTATGATTTGAGCTTTAATAAAACTTTGATTTGTTGCTCTGACACACAGCAACACATGACTGTCTGAAAAATATTTGATCAAATATTAAATACCATAAATGCATACAAATGAACAAGGGTGATTAAAAGGCCCCAGCACACTCTGGTTTTGAGGACCAGGGCTAATAACGCTGATATTACCTGACCCACATCAGCTATTAACTTCCTCCATGAAGGGAATATGTTTAATTTTCCTAACATAGAATAACCAGATTTAACCATTTCTAAATTAAAACCTTTAAACATACCTTATGCCTGTCATGGTTTCTAAGTTTCAATATTGGTTTTAGAATAAAAGTCTATTCCTCTAAATAAGCATTAACCAGAAAATATACAACTTAACAATGAGACACAACAAATATGCTAGACGTGTACACAGAGTGGAATTTGGAACTTGTGCAGCAGGACTTTACAGAATAAATTTCATCCAGTGGAGGAATCAGGAAAAGATGATGCCATCAGTTCAAAGTGTAAGAAAGTGGAAAAAAAACGCCTTTAAATAGGAATGAAGTCGGGTGTATGCAGGGTGAGGAAGGGGATCAGTTAGTGGACTTTCCTTTTTCTGGACCGGTATCGTCTCTGTCTTTGTTTGTAGAGAAGTTGGAAGTTAATGAAGAGTCCTGGAGGGAGGGAGAGCTTTTGTTACAACGCAGCTTAATAAACAAGGTTCTTCTCATTCCCAAAAGGCCAAATAAATTAATTCTGAGTGAATATTGAGGTCTTTCCGGAGTCTTTTGTCCATCAGCTGATTTTCCTTTAAGTTTATATCAGAGTTTAATTATTTAGTCTGATAACTATTATCATTATTACAATAAATATATTCCCTTCCCTCTGCTGTCTGTCCTTTTTCGTTTATAAAGCTATAATTATAATAAATGATAGTAATTATTTTTAGTTTAAATTCTTATACCCTGCCTGTTCTTTGCATTGGAGTCCCCCCAGCTTTCACCTATTTTTACAGCCAATTTCATCGTCTCACGACAAGTCTGCTGTGGAAATGAGACATTATGTCTCAATTAGATTCACCTCTGTAGAAAATTAAATATGAATTAGAAATTCAGGAGTGAAAGCAAAGTTGCTGTCAAAATATTTTCTAATAAAATCCATTCAATTTAAAGACTTTGCCCTTAAAGGGAAAAGTTTTATTTTAGATTCTCTAGAGGATTTTTTGCTATATTTAAACCACCAACAATTAATTTACTTAAACGTTAACCAGCTATCTTTGTTTGTGGACTTCTTACCCAGAAACATGAGGACCAGGTAGAGCTGCAGAGTGTAGGAGAAACTTAAAGAGTGTCCGAAGACAGAGGGAAGCGGGATGCTGAACAGACGCGTCTCATCAAAGATGGGCAGGGACTGGATCACAGCCACCGCTGCAAACAGCAATATAGCAAAAAACTACATCAGCAACAGTTCTAAAACGCCGCTGACAGAGACTTCGGCCACTGTAGGTAACAAACCTTCAGCTACAACGCCGAGTGGGTACAAAGGGATCCACAGGCTGTATCTGAGCCAAGTTAACAGCTTCCACTCTGTGCCGATACAGGCCAACATGTAGAACGGATATCTGACACAGAGAGAGAGGAGCTGATGTTAAACATACAAAACAAAAAACACAAGGAGGCCGACTAGAGAACATGGAGATGATCGGAACAGACCTGAAGATTTCAATGGAGCTCCACAGGTAGAACACAAAAAACACCACAGCTTTGTTCTGCATGTCCTCCAGGCTGCCGAAGATGACAAACAGAATGACATTCCTCCCTGCCACCTAGAGAGGACAGGACCTCATTATAACCCTACATGTGTGAACCCAACATTTCAACAAGGATATCTGTATGTATAGTAGAATCCTTAAAACTTTTATTTTTTCACCAAGCCACCAGCAGAGGGTACATTCTTTAAAACCCAATTATTCCTGCTTAAAAAGGTCCAACACTGATGAGTTTTACTGTTATTATGCAGCATTCCTCCTAAAGCCAGTTTGTTTTCCTCCTTGTACTAAATAGCCGAGACTGAGACCTTTTCAAAATGACTCTAGAAACTGTTTTCTAATCATCGTTCACGAGTCTACGGAAACCGCGGCAGACCAAACCAGATGAAAGTGCGCATTCAGCTCAGCAAAGAACTCATGCTCTTCCTCAACACTGAAGTCCTCAGACATTTTTCTTTCGTTGTTTCTTTCTTTGCACAGGTACACAGCACATTTCTTCTTCTACGCTTGCATTATCGGCAGAGCAGACGCTGAATGCGCACTTTCGTCTGGTTTGGTCTGCCGCGGTTTCCGTAGACTCGTGAACGCGCTTTCAGGAAATCCTATACACTGCTGTTTATGCTCTAAAAACATTCTAAATGACTTCGTTTCGAGTAAATTCTGGATGCTACCCACTCAGGACACTTGGAATACATTGGACGAGCAGTATGGAGGAACATTGACACGTTTTTTGTGGACTTTTATGGACCTTTCTGCCTCGGGCACCATAGACCTCCATTATTTGAATGTCAGCAGACAGCAAGAAGCCTCCCAGATCTCCAGATGCATTTGAGATATCAAAAAAGTACTCCAGAGTGTTGTTCAGCATGGGGGTGAGTAGAAAATGAAGGCTAATCATGTTTTGGGTGTACTATTCCTTTAAGACTGTACCGTGGTCACCACCTCAATGGAAAAATTGAATGTAAAGATCCAGAAGGGTTTAAACTATAATATCCTGAATGTGTCTCACTGAGGGACAGTAAATTATATTCTGATACTATGCTATATTTAGATAAACCAGACTAACTGTGAGTTTAAATGTTCAATGAAAACCCCAAGTCTAATCCTTCCCAAACTGATTCCAAAGCTGAGTTTAAAATCGGCATCAGAGCCAGCGGTCCTTCACACACGACTATGCCAAGAGAAGGCCGCTGCAGACGGGCTGCGGTTAGCCCTGGCTGCCGTTAGATTCGGAGGTCCGCTGGTTGCCGCGTTCCTCTCAACTTAGGAAATTGTTTTTTTAATTACGCATTAAATCGGTAAATAGACCATATAGTGACGCTTTAAAGTATAATATTCTCGCCTCAAATGATCTTAAAACTTACTTTTATTGAACAACAGCAACAGAAAAGAGAACTTTAACTTTCCATGGAGTGCTGTGTTAAAAGCTGCTGCTGCTGTTCAATAGTTGTTGCCATCTTCCTTTTTGTGCTTTCTCCAGCGTTGTGCAGCTTTGTCGTCACGCCCTCAAAACCCCGCCTGCTTTGCATCCAGAAATTCAAAACACATCTCTGCTTTGTGATTGGCCCGCCAGTTCTAGGGCCTGTGGCATTGATCGAGGCTAGACCACTCGCAGGCAAAAATGATTTTGGCCGCTGGCGGGTGGGGCTAGTTTACTAGGGTAATATTAAAGGAATAGTACACCCAAAACATGATTAGCCTTCATTTTCTACTCACCCCCATGCTGAACAACCCCCTGGAGTACTTTTTTGATATCTCAAATGCATCTGGAGATCTGGGAGGCTTCTTGCTGTCTGCTGACATTCAAATAATGGAGGTCTATGGTGCCCGAGACAGAAAGGTCCATATAAGTCCACAAAAAATGTGTCAATATTCCTCCATACTGCTCGTCCAATGTATTCCAAGTGTCCTGAGTGGGTAGCATCCAGAATTTACTCGAAACAAAGTCATTTAGAATGTTTTTAGAGCATAAACAGTAGTGTATAAGATTTCCTGAAAGCGCGCGCCTGCGAGTTCACGACGCTACGGAAACCGCAGCAGACCAAACCAGATGAAAGTGCGCATTCAGCTCGGCAAAGAACTCATGCTCTTCCTCAACACTGAAGTCCTCAGACATTTTTCTTTCGTTGTTTCTTTCTTTGCACAGGTAAACAGCACATTTCTTCTTCTACGCTTGCATTATCGGCAGAGCAGACGTTGAATGCGCAATTTCATCTGGTTTGGCTTCCGTAGCGTCGTGAACTCGCAGGCGCGCGCTTTCAGGAAATCCTTTACACTACTGTTTATGCTCTAAAAACATTCTAAATGACTTCGTTTCGAGTAAATTCTGGATGCTACCCACTCAGGACACTTGGAATAAATTGGACGAGCAGTATGGAGGAATATTGACACGTTTTTTGTGGACTTTTATGGACCTTTCTGCCTCGGGCGCCATAGACCTCCATTGTTTGAATGTCAGCAGACAGCAAGAAGCCTCCCAGATCTCCAGATGCATTTGAGATATCAAAAAAGTACTCCAGAGTGTTGTTCAGCATGGGGGTGAGTAGAAAATGAAGGCTAATCATGTTTTGGGTGTACTATTCCTTTAAGGTGGATAACACTGTGTGTGCTTTGCCCCCAGATGCAGGAAACAGTTATATTTAAAGAGACTGTTTCAGCTAATGAATCAAACTACTGGATCAATATTTATTTTGTAGTTAGTGTTCATTTTAGCATGTTATGATGTGATGTAAATACCTTAATTTTACTATCAAGGTGACTTTTACCATCTGGCTGCAGGACTGTAGCTAAAAACTAGCGTTCTGGCCAACTCTGGCATATTGACGGAAATATTTATCAACATGTTTCGTCCCTGTGATAAATAAATAAAAACTACTGGGATCAATATAACCTTAAAAAGGTAGCACCTTTAAATTTTTAGGTTGATGATCTGGGGCAGCAAAAATAGGAGATTTTCTAGCTTCCTTAAGCTTCATTCAGCTGCACATCTTCCATCTATAAAGATATGAGTGAATTGATCTAACATGAGTGATAAGACTCTAGATCAAATTAACTTATGCTCAAACATCCTGAAAACCTAAAATCCAAAAAATCCAGTGCTGCTTCAATTTTATATTTGTGTATATGTTATATTAGTGTTTGCTATAAAAACACATCACCTGCTATATGCAAAAATATTACTGGTCCTTTCATCTTTGGGATAAAAACAAAGGAGAAATAAACAAAAACCAACAACAGCAACAAAAAGATTTTATTGCTTTTTTATTACCTGAATCATAGCAGGAACGAATCCTGTCTTAACCAGCCCCAGTAAGGGATTAATGACCTCCACCACAGCCATCATCTGACAGAAATACATCATGTCCGCCATGGTGTGAAAGGTGTCGTAGAACGAGTCTGTGGAGACAAAGAAAACAAACATGATTAAGCAGCATGTTGGACCACAAATAACAGTAATCATTTGCAAAACAAATCCCTGCTGCTTCTTCCTGTTCCTATTCAAATCAGCTCATCTGTGCAAAGCTCCTCAAAAACAGGAGGACAGAGCTCTCAGGCTGCAAGCTCCAGAATCCTGTTATGTTTTATTACAACGGGATCCTGATTGTATTGGTATCCTTTTAGGTTTTTGTCATCCACATTCACCCAAACACATTGGCTTAGTATCTGATTATTCTATCTATTCATTTTGGAAGCCATAAAAGAGAACAGCAGTGTTTTAAGTTATTCCAGTTTACTATGTCAACTACTTTAAAAATATAACAATTTATTACCATCTGATATTATATATAATTAAAATGTATTTGCTAAATCCCTGAAAAATTACAATTAGAGGCTCTGTTTTATTAATTTATTGGGTTTTTCCCAAACATAATTTTATTATTTGGTAGTAAGGCCTAGGCTTCCTGTCACACCTTGCCCATTTGTGCCTGACGTCCGAGAATCTCCTAAAACGCTGACCTTTCTATGTATTGTTTTTTATTTTGGGCGTATACATAGAGTATTCATACAGAGTTCAGAGCCAGGGGTTGACGTTAAGGATTTTTACCACTTGCCCTTTGGGCAAGTGACTTTCACATTTCATTTGCTAAGAAACAATTTTTAATTGCCCAGTGTATTGTTTGATAAATATAGTTCTTAATATTCATTTTTGTATATATATATATATATATATATATATATATATATATATATATATATATATATAAATAAATGAAACATGTTTGTTTTTTAAATGTTTTTTGTAATTCAGTATTTTTTAAGTTTCCAGGTTCCTGGTGTGTATATGCATGCGTCAGATAATGAACTCAAGCCTACATTACCGTGATAACATGCTTTTCAATCCTTCCTGCACATTCTTTTCAAACTAAACTTTGCTTTAAACTGTTGTGTGCTTGGAAAAATATAAATTGTAATGTTAAAAATCTAAAAAAAGCTTGACAGGTTAAAAACTTAAGATAAATCACAAGACAGAAGACAATGTCACAAATTAATAACTTTTATTTTAGATTCACGGCATGTTTATACAAGATAATACTATTAATATAATGTGACTGTTCTAGAGAATCATTATACAAAGTTATTTTATACGGGGTTTCCACTGTCTTACATAATTTCAGAATTCCCTGACTTTTAACTGACTCAGGATTAGTTTTCCCTGTCGTTTTGGTAACTACATCAAAATTACCGCTAGGTGGACAAAAATCACGCCATCTGCCGGAAAATCTCGCGGCTTTTTCAAATCACGTGAAAATGCGTACAAAACAACAAAAATGGCGCCGGCAACGCTTGTGGGTCCTTTTTTAAGCGAATGTCGGCGATTAAAAAGTCATTTTGAGTGATAAATAATTTCTTTTTTTTGCGATGATTGCATTTCCCCTGGGGAAAATGCAATGAAATTTGTACTCTCCCGACAATAAAAACTACTTGCCCCGGGCGATCGGGCAATGGTTAACATCGAGCCCTGAGAGCGTATGTCCAACGACAGCCTAACATATGCATATTGCATGGCAGCGTAATGCCCATGAAATTACGCACAAGCCAGTGTCCTGAGGGGGGCAGCATAGGGGACAGCGATGCACCCGGGCTGCATAAAAACATGTCTTTCATAGTATTAATCTAGCTGCCGTTTATCCCCCACCCAAAAAAAAAAAAAAAAACGAAAAAAGAAAAAGAAAGAAGGTTTGCAGTCGCAGCAGATTCAGCATCATGTTTATTAGGAAGTTTGTTGGTCGTTGCCGTGGGCGTGAACGCAGGGAGGATCCATAACACTCACCTTCAAGGTCACCCTATGATGGTGGATGAAGTCTAGAGGACAACAGACGGTTTCCTCCTGTGAACCCCCTTTTATACCAAAACACTGTCAATACGCCATTATACAGTAGCTGCAAGTTAAAAACAAGTTTAGCAGTGGTCTGGAACACGTCAAATACGTTGATATGCCTTGGAGATAAGTTCTCGATAATTTATGCACAAGTTACTTATAGGTTTTGGATAAGCTAGACACACCGACTCATGAGTAACTTAAATTAATGTGTGTCAAGAATCAGATACCTTAGCTGTAACTTATGCTCAAAGTATGGCATACGCTGGCATACGTCAAGCTCAAAACTTCTCGACGTACATGCCGCATGTCGACGTGTGCCAGTGGGTTTCAGCAAACTTCAGCGTACCCATAACTAATACAAAACGTACCCATAACTTATCCAGTGTATATCAGCCTTTTTGCCACATTTTTTGTACATCAGGCATACGTTGGTCTAAATTAAGGTGTGACAGGGTCTTTAGAGAACAAAAGGACAAAGGCTCCAATGCTTTGGTTTAATTACAGGGGATCTAACAACAGTTTGCTGGATTTCTTACAGGAGTCGAAGGGAAATACAATTTTTGCTTAGTTCTCAGGTCAGGATTTTTATTTGCAGCGCAGACACCTAGATCTTTTTTTCCCTTAAAAAAGCAATAAGTCATCATTTTAAAAGAAAGGAACTAAACAGAGTGATGTGAAAAACTGAAGGCATCTTTTTAGATGAAATCTGGCGTAACATCCAATCCATCTTTCTGCTTTGTTCGCAAAGGGTCGCAAAAAAACAAACAAACAGATTTGACGGTTGCAGAGGTTATGCATCAGAAGTAAAACTGGCCTTAAGAAGGCAGGAACGTCTCCTGCATGTAATAATTGTGTTGCTCAAACAGCTTCAAACCTCTGGAAACTTTATCTATGAATAAACTGGATTGGTAAAGGTGTGATTCTACTAAAACATTTTGTTGTAAATTAGTTTTTATTGTTTAAACAGTTTGAAGGCTTAAAAGCACAATAATCTTCACATATGTTAACCTCTAACTTTAAAGAAAGCAAAAAAGCAATTTTCCATCTCATTGTTTTAGTATTTATTATTATTTTTTTCTTGTAGTAGCTAAGTAAAGGCTTTTTGTCAGTGTTTAAAATACATATTTTTGAAAACAAACCTTGACCGAGGATGAAGAGTCGAACCGTCATGTTGACAAAGATCCAGGAAAATCCTAGGAACTGCACGAGGTTGTACATGAACAAGTAGCCCTTCTTCAGTCCGAGGTAGGCTGACCGCACACCAGGAAGAAGAGACAATCATCAACCATCAACAACACAAAGGAAAAGGTCCTTTTTTAAAAGAAAAGGTCGAGGTAACAATACAGCAAAACCACTTACGGTCTTTACGAACTCTCGACTCCACGCTAATCCTGTTGATCTTCTCCTCCTAAGAAAATGACAGTGCTTTCAGTTAATATTTATAATTTTGTAATACATGTTATGGTATTTGGAAAAACCTTTCAAAAATGATAGAACTGTTAATAAATAAAAACAAAAATGTCATATTACGCAGGGAATCAAAGGAAATAAAAACTCAATTTATACCAGAGAAACAAAATTAATGGAGACATAACTTTGTGTTTACAAGGTTCTGCTTTATTTTCATGTCAGAAATTTCTTACAATTATAGAACTATCTTTCAAAGGTTAGTTAAATTGGAATGGTTATGGACAGATGGACAGGCTTGCGTTTCCGAGTTATTGAGCATATGTCTGAGACGTCTTGCCTTGGCTTGGAGCTCCATCTCAGCATCAGACTCATCCAGCCAGCGGTCGAAGTCTGGAGCCAGAAACAAAGGTTTCCTTTCCTGCAGCGTCAGTCGTTCCCACCAACGCTCCTCCCGCTTCTTGATCCTGATGTCCACCTGACGCTGGGTGGACTTTTGACGAATCTAAAAGCAAGCATATATATTCCATGATATTGAAAACAAGCAGTTTGCAACATAAACTCACTTGAAAATGAGTCAATAGACTCGCTCATGAAGGGAATTGGGATATAAAATCAAAAGGGAAAAAAAAAAAGTTGAGATCAAAAACTCAGGCAAGATTTTTTTCTGATCTACCGACTTATTGTTTATGTTTATTCTAAGATGAATAAGAGGAAAAGGCTCACACCAACAGAAATAAGAAACAAAAAGAGTATCAGCACCTCAGGTTTAACAGGTTCCAGGAACTCCAAACTGAACTCATACTGGTTGTCTCCTTTAGCTCCATGGCCCTGTGCTGTGAAGCAGCAACATCATTTTAACCATCAGGAGGAGATTTTTACTCAAGCATTAAGTCTCTAGAAGGTATATGACATGAGTTTAAGCACAAACCTCTGAACTGAAGCGTGTTGTCTTCCTGCAAGCAGATATCAACATTCTGCAAAATGCAAAAAACTGAAGATTAAAACCAGTAAAAGTTACTAAAAGGTATGAGTGGAAATTGAAAATGAAGCTTAAAAGCTATTCAACTTTCTTCAAGACTAAGGACAGTATGCACATTTTTTTGTTAACTAGTTTATACTACACATAACCCAATTTTCAGGCTTTAAAGTGATAGCACGATTCATTAATTGGGATAAAGTAAATATTTATACTTGATACATTTAATTTTATTTGCTTTACCCTGCAGAAAAAAAAAAAAGCCATCCAATTAAATAAAGGTTAAATGGATGCAGTTGTACTGTAGTCTGCCACATGAATAAACATGTCTCTATATGTATGGTGTGTAAGCAGACAGCAGGTTTTTCAGGAAGCCTGTTTAAATTTTCATGAAGCCATTCTTTAAGAGGGATGAACAAAACCCAGAACCTCCATGAAGGGTCATGCATCTTTGATAAGCCTACAGCCCAACAGAAGCAAGACCAACAGTCTGAATAAACAGCTGCGTAAGAAAAGCAGAAGATTCAAAGAACGAGCTCATTAAAAGAGAACAATTAGAAACTAAAAGGCTCATAAAGAGCTTATGGTTAAACCGTGTCTTATACCCTCTAGTTAAGCTAAAATGTTTTTATCTTAAAATGCAAAAAAAATAATGCAAAATCTTATATAAAAATATACACAATTATTTATACAATTATAGAAAGAAAAAGAAAAACGCCCTAAAGTTGCAGAAAACTTCCATTTCTATAATAAAATAAGTATAATAATAATAATAAGTTAACAAAAACTTCCAGGAACTTCCCAAAAAAGTAACCTGAAAATAGATAACACTCCCAGGATGATAACCAGGAAGTTCCAATAAAATTGTCAGAAAACTACCAAGCAAGTTTCCAGTAGACAGTACGCTCCATGAAGGTTCGAGGAAAGTAACAAGAATGTTCCTGGAAAGATGAGGCTTGAAACTAGATTTTTTTTGGGTGGGAAAAGTCCCAGAAAGCATACTACAGATCCTGAAGAATTACATGCATTAGTGCTTAGCAGTAATTTTCAAAAAAGTATTTGGTAGCAGGAACGTTTAGAGCAAGTGTCCTAAACTTCGCCTCTGAGATGTTTCAAGTGCCAAAAATTTGGGCATATAGCAGCAGTATGTAAAGGAAAACAGCAATGTGGAAGGTGTGCTGGAGAGCACAAATATGGAAAATGTGGGAAAGAAGCTAAAATCAAATGCTGTAACTGCGGTGGGGAACATACTGCTGCATATCATGGGTGTGAAGTGAGTAAAAGATCTGAAGAAATTAGAAAAGTGAAATGTGAGCTCAGAATAACATATGCTGAAGCTGCAAAAAGAATCCCATCCCAATCAGAAAAACCCAAACCATCATTTAATGGCAAGTTCAAAACATCTGGAGCAGCGTCCAAAAATTGAAGATTCATTGATTGTAAAAAAGAAACATTTTGTTCTTTTCATGGTAGAAGTGATCCATTGTAGTGCTCAGACGACAAGGAAAACCGGAAAAAAAAATATATCAAAATAATAGTGAAAGCTGGAGAAAAGTGTTTTGAAGTCCATGCACCCATCCATCTTCTTTCATTAATCGGGGGGTAGCAGCTTCAGTGGGGAGGCCCAGACGTCACCAGCCACTTGGGCCAGCTCCTCCTGGGGGAATCCAAAATCGCTCCCAGGATAGCCGAGAAACAAAGTCCCTGGGTCTCCCCCTGGGCCTCCTCCCGGTTGGACGTGCCTTGAACGCCTCAGCAGGAAGACGTCAAGGAGGCATCCTAATCAGATGCCTGAGCCACCTGAATTTGCTCCTTTTGATGTGGAGGAGCAGCGGCTCTACTCTGATTTAAACTGGGAAGTGGTTGAAAGCATGATGGAAAAACCATCAGAAACTGGCACACTGATGATAACTTAAAGATAAATTAGAAATTATGAGGACAATTTTGATTAACCATTTATTATGTTGGGTTAAGTTAAATAGTTCGGAAAATATTATTTATTGTTTTATTCTGAGGGTGAGTCTTGTTTCCTAATTCCTTGCTTAACTCCTTATCAGTTGGTGGCGGTATGCACTTAAACTAGTTTGCCAACCGCCATAAAGCCTCACAAGAAGAAGAAGAAGAACAGCAGCAAGTGTTCTCCTACGTTATTTATAAGTCACTTCTTCAGGCTTTATTGAGTAATACCCACATGAGTCCTGATCAGTGCTTTTCTATTCATAAGCTTGAAACTTTCATTATCACATTCATGAAAACTAGAGAATAGTTTTGGTCATTGTGTACATTAAAGACCAACTCCCTTAACCCATTAAAATACTTCTAGCTGGTCCTCCTGTTAATGTTCTTCCCTCACTGGGGGTAACAGCGACGACTTTAAATCATTTGCTAGGACTCTTTAAATCTTACTCAGTCGTGTCTAAAAAATGCAAAATATTCTACTTATTTCGATTACATTTGGTTGCAGATACTTTGAGCAACGGTCCAACAACATGAAGCTAATGGGGGGGGGGGGGGTCCATCTTACCTTTGCATCGCTCAGTTCCACTCGGAGATAGATCTCTCCGTGCCGCTGAGCCCAGTAAACATGAGGAGTCAGGATCTGCATGTCGGAGCTGTGTTTTCTTACAACTACGCGTCCCGAGGAAGGACACAATTGGTTCAGAGTGATCAAATGAAATCCATATAAAGGTTGCAAAGCATCTTGCAGACAACTACGGGGAGGAAACGACGACCGGAAATCAATTCTTGGCGGATTTGAAAGTAAAAGCACCGTGCCCTTCTTCCTCTACGGGTTCTCTAACATCCGCCCAAGTTCGACATGGCATGTTGCTGCCATCTACTGGGCTTTATCGGCTTCTACAATGCCCGCTTCTTTTGCTTCAAATAATACTGCGATTTCGTTACTTTTCTTATTATTTTTTTTATGTAGATCTGATCACAGGAGTTCCTGGTAACAGTAGACCACTATTAACACCAGGTATAATAGCCTATAGTATGGAGGACCAACTCTGCCATATTTAAAGACACAGCTCCTCATTTGTATAATGAGGCAGAAATGCATACAGAAATGTAAAAACAACAGGCAGAAATAAATAGGGTAAAAAAAATACAAAGAAAGAATAAAACAGAAAACAATATTATCACATGCACATAAAAAAACTTGAAGAAATAAGTAATAAATAAATAAAGTTGAACATTATAATGGACAATAAATAAATAAGGTAATTATTACAAAGGTGAATAAATACAGAAGCTAATTAAAAGTGATATATACATTTATGTCTCACTGTATAATTTAATTTCTACCTACATTTATTTGTTTATTGTGTTTTTAGGGGTAATTAATTGTATGCTTATTTATTTATTGGGCATTTTTTTTATTTCTGTATTTATCTTTAAATATGGCGGAGTTGATCCTCCACACTATAGGTCCACACAAACAAAATAATTACAAATGTTTTCTGCTTCTCTAGTTCATTTTTAGTTTAAAATGTCAGATTTTTATGGACATGGATTAGAACAGCATTTTGTTCAGTACTTTCATTGTATATACACAATTTAAAAAAGGCATCAGGTATTACAATTTTTGTTATCAAGACGTGGAATAAATTTTATAAAATAAATTGCAAAGTGCTTGCTTTACAAAATAGAGCTTGTCAGGTGCTTAACAGACACACTAGTAGATTGTAGGTTGATGGATAGTGTTCATAACTTGACAGTTTACATTTATATGTAAAAACCTTTAGAAACATTTTTATCCTTAAAAGTCTACCACTAATATTTTATTAATTTGTTTTATTGTAATCCAATTCCATTTAATTTTTTTCTATAGCACCAATTCACATCACATGTCATCTCAAGACACTTTACAGTTCACCAGATCATACAGTCAAATTGATTCAAAGTTGATTGCATAGACTCATTGACTGGAAGGCAATCCCTCACACTAAGCATGCTTGTAGCGACAGTGGAGAGGAAAAACTCCCTTTTATTTATTAAATCCTCCCAGATGACCAGCGGCATGCAGCATGAAGAGAGTGTTTTTTTGTTATTAAGAGAAAATAATTGCAAGTAATTTCCTTGAATCTTGTATAACCAACTTAAATGTTTATAATACATCAACAAAATACTTGCTGTTCTTTTAAGGTAGTATATTTTACCTGTCATTAATACAAATTGAAATGCTCTTATGTGTCAATTTGTTTGATTCTCAGAATAGTTTGTTTCCTGTGAAATGATACTCTTATATATGTTTCTACATGTATCCAGCCTGCATTGGTGAATGACAAAGACTGTCATCACAATTATTCATGATTTATATAGAAGCGGAACTAACGAAAGATCTTGAATGCATCATAAGGCGAAACTCCCCCATTATGTAGGAATTCGTGGAAAATCTTTGCAGTTCTTGATAACTTTAAAGGAAATTGGTTTATGTATTGTTATGGTTTCTCCATGTTATTGACTAACACTAAAGTGTATGCCCACTGCAGCTCGGTAACGCCTCTCGGTCGGTTTCAAAGTGCAACCCACCGGAAGATTAGAAAAGCTATTTTATGTTAAAGTTCGTCAGGTGAAAGGAGAATATTACTGACGAGCAGCCTTCATGAGCTGCTCATTTTTGTAGCTCTTACAGTTTTTAAAATACTTTATTTTGTAAGGAGATCGTCTGAAGTTCTAGCTGAGGTGTTTGAATTCATATTTCCTCAAAATGAAACGAGAAGGTGGAACCAGCGCTGCTCCGGCTTCCTCCACAACCAAGACCAAAGAGGAGTCACACAGGATGAGGGTTATTTTCGTCGTTTATATTATAGCAGTTCTGGACGTCACCTGGATGTTCCTGTCCTTCTCTGTTACCCCAGTAAGTAGCGTTTACAACGAGAGGCGGATTCTCAAATTTCCGTGATTCCCTTGAAACACACACGATTCACAGCTTGTTAATAATAAACCTTAAAGCTGCATTTACCGATGGCGCAAAGTTGCTTAGGGGCCCCGTCACTGACACCTGGTTGGCCCCTTTCTCAATTGTGGACTAGAACGTCTCATTGCAGACGTAATGTTACGAAAATTTCTCTGAAAACCCAACTGGTAGTAAAACACTGACGGGACCGTATTTATACCCAGACTCATGGCAGATTTTAACATGATGGTGAGCCGTTTAAACACGACACCAATAGCAAAGCAGACAGTCAGACATCCCAAGTTCCAAAAACTAATTTCAGGGAGGTGCTTATCATACATCCCCCTCAAACACACACACACCCCGGGGACAACGGACCCGCACCGTGTCCCATACACACACACTTAATGCCAGCCACTTTTCAACAACTGCCTATCAACTAACAAATTCTTAAACAATAAACAGAACAGCATTGGTCTTTTATTTTCCATTTGCAATACTTTCCATCTTGTAGCCTTGAACAAACGGTTGTGCTTTCTTCTTTTCATGGGACTTCAGCATACAGTGCACCTCACCAGGGTGTCATCATTCCTCACCATGGCCGGTTCTAATCAGGGGCCAGCGAGGGCCAGTGCCCCTGTAAATCATGTCCTGGCCCCTGTTATGGCCCCTGTACTGAAGACAATACTTAAAACAAATTCTAATGATGAAATGCGCTGGAACAGACATGTTTACTAATAGGTCCTTTTGACCTATTTCATTCTTTTTTCTTTACAAATTCTGTTTTACTGATTATTCAAAAACTGTTTCTGTTAGGCACTAACCGAACCCTCGTTTAGTAGCTGCTTAAAACAGAAGACATGTCACACATTGTGTTTACTTCCAGTTTCTCAATAGAACGAGGCGAAAACACTGTGAATCAGACAGCAATGTCCACCTTATTACTTATGAGTACTTATTATTTGCACTGCGAGTGAGCGAGCATGGCGGAGCTGTGGCTGAGGAGAAACAGAGAAAAACAAATAAACAACAGCAGATTGAGGAAGGCGGTGCTAAAAACCTAAAAAGCACAAAACCTAATCTGACATCAGGTTATTCAACTTTGCTGGGCAAAGTTGAATAACCTGGGAAATATTTTGTTTGTTGCAAACCCCCCAAAAAATAGTGGAGAGGTAGAGCATGCGACCCTGCAGTGCCCTCCCAGGTGTTAGTCCTGTCCCTAACACCTTTGCTGCATAGCGTCCCCTTAGCTCTACCCTTTTGCTAACAGATAAAGGTGATGCACCTCAAACTGGATTTCTTATGACTGTCTTCTTGAAACTCTTCCATTAAAGACAGATGTATGCAGTCCAGGACTCATAGTTGTCTGGCAACAGATTCTCTCTCTTGGCAGCTTATACTCAGCTTCCAGTATACTTAGATGACCAACTGAGCAGTGCTCCACGAGATGTTCAAAGTTAACTATTGTCCCCTATTTGTTTTGATCTATACATAGAGGTGTATGGCTTTAACACAATCAAAGGGAAAGGTTTAAGGGGTATCAATAAGTGGAGTCTTTCTGTGTTTGATTTCCTTCATATAAATGTGTCTGTTTTCATTATATCTCCCCAGTATTTGGCAAAGAAACTTGGCTTTGACACATTGTGGTTTGGATATTTGCAAACTACAGTTGGGGTGATACAACTGATTGGAGGTCCCATGTTTGGAAGGTAGGTATAAAGGAGAAGCAATATAAAAGCAGCTTCCTTAAAAACGTATAAAGATATTGTCTCTCATGAAAATGTATCTGCAGTGGTTTTAAAAGCTTCATTTTTTTTAACAGATTTGGGGATCTGTTTGGAGCACGAGCTGCCTTGTCTTTGGCTTGTGCTGCAACCACAGTCTTCTTTGGGCTTCTGGCCGCGGCAAACCATCCCTTCATGCTTTTTGTCCATAAACTACCAACGGTCTTTATGCATGTCATACCCGGTGAGCTAAATGTTCTTCCTTGGTAAAAATGACTACTTGGCACAGGTTCCTGTAACAATAAAAGCGTTTATTTTGTATTCATGATTGGTGAAATCTTATCCACAGACTATGTTTTTTCGTTCTCCAAACAAGTATTAATCAGTACAAACAATAGTTTAAAATTTGGATTAGTTTAAATTATGGATGCACGATATAATCGGCCCCCTATCGGTATCGGCCTTAAAACTGAATATCGGACATTGGCCACCCCACCAACATTTAACCCGATATTTGATCAGCTTCTGATTTTCTAAAGTCTAAAAAAAAAAATGCTACTTCTTCTTCTTCTTCCTCAAAAACTTCTTTTTTACAGACTTAAAAACTTCTAAAGATGAGGGAAAAAATATTGATACATTAAAATATCACAATATCTTCATATGCTGATATATTGCCATTTAAAAACACAATATCAATCTCTTTTACTAATAAAAATATTGCTATATGTCATCATTATGCTACGAAATCCCCCGAAATTCATGAAATGTTGCCATATTTTTATATTCTGATATATTGACGTGGTATCGATCTATTTTACTAACAAAATCTCACAAGAATTTGCAAAATATCACGAGAGTTTGTAACAGAACGATGAAATTTCACGAGATTTTGAAAGTAAAATAGATCGATACCGCGTTTTTAAAAATCAATTTGATATCAGCATATGAAAATATATTTGAGCATATTATTTTTCAAAGTGTCAGAAATGGATAACAAAACTGCTATTTTCAACGACTACTTATTTTTGTCCAGCTTTAACATCGGTATCGATATCGGTTATCGGCTACATGAGTTTTAAAATATCGTATATCGGCCAAAATCCCAATATCGTGCATTCCTAGTTTAAATACATTTTCATCTGAGATGTGTAGTCAAAAAGATGAGATACTTAAAATTTAATGAATCAAACGAATGTCCGCTTTAATAGTTTTCTGTATTCACTTGCTTTCCTTCTGTCTGCAGCATGTCAGATGGTGGTTACAGACCTCTCAGAGCCTGATAAACGAGCCGACGCTCTTTCCAAACTGGGTCTGTGTTTTGGAATCGGGATGGTCGTTGGCTCCACATTAGGGGGACACCTAAGCACACACTATGGGTGGGTACCACTGTATGTGTGACATTGTTATATGCATAGATGTCGGGATTCATGTTTCTTTGCATCTGTTTCTTATTCCTCAGGGAGACGTTTGCCGCCTGTGTTGGTGCTGCAGGTAGTGCCTTCAGTTTGATCCTCGTTTTATGCTTCATCCCAAAGTCTACCAAATCTGAGGCCTCTAGAAGCAGCTCCACATGTAAGAAAGGACAAATCCTCACTGTGATAAAGGTAGCATAATGCTGTGGGTATGTTTTCCGCTCAAAATGGGACGACTGATGGTGCTAAATATGAGTCGGTCCTGGAAAAAGGCTGTTGGAGGCTTCAAAACACTAACTGTAAGATGGAGGCTGACGTTCACATTCCAGCAGGACCCTTAATATACAGCCAAAGTTACAAAATTATTAAAATCAAAGAATGATTCAGTCAAGGTTCAGACCTAATACAACCGAAAATCCATGGCAGGTTTTGAGCATTGGTGTTCAAATTCAGTCTGGCTGAACTTTAAATATTTTGGAGATAAAAATGGGCAAACATTTCAATCTCCATATTTCAAAGATTTCCAAAAGAACCAGTAAAAGGGATTGAAGTGAAAAGTGGGTACAGATTTTTTATTTGTCAATAAATCAGGCACAATTATTCCTTTTTCATTTTGCCCGAAGGGATAACTGCTCCTTACACTGTTTGACTTTTTGCTTTTTAAAACTAATGAATATAGGGAAATAACAACTTTGTCATTACTTTTTAAATTAAGCTGACCTTTAAGCAACATAATCTTAACAGGTTCCTAAACTCGCTGGTTGTAGCATATGTGATAAACTTAGTTATGATGCATCTCCCTGATCCTGTATAAAGCCATTTTTCCTGCCTAAGAGCCAAGTTTCAGAATGTTCAGCTTATAAATCAAATTGTAGCCCTTGCATTTGTATCCTCCTCTACATGCCCTGTTGTCCTTTTTTTGTCTCTCAGCCTGGCAATATGCTGAAATCTTCAAGGTACTGGACAAGAAGAAATTAGTAGAAAAAACAGCCAGTGGGAAAAGAAAATCTTTAATACCCTCTCAAAGCTGGAAAATAAAACATTTAATCCAGACTTGTATAAAAGATTTGTCTGAGCTGCTGATTTTAAATTAGCTAAAGAGCAGTACTAATAGCATACAGCATTACTTATAACTAAGCAACACTTATAACATAAGCAACATTAATTCTATACATGTTATTTCTATTATAAGTCTGCAGACTTATACCGGTAATAGAAATAACATGTATCTTTGTTCCCGTTAGTTTCCTGTCATTTAACAGTGTGATTAAAGGAGGAACAAACACATATTTAACATGCATGCTTAATATGACTGTGTATGTATATATATATATATATATATATATATATATATATGTATTGTTCTACTTCTCTCCTTCAAATGATATAGATGAAGAACAAGAGCAAACAGATCTGCAGATTGCTTACAAAGGTTTTCACTTCTTTCAAGAAACTGACACAAATTGTCAAAGCTGGATGATCCTGCAAAGAGTTTTTCATAAAAATAACATCTGTGTTGCTTTTATCAAAGAAGGTTGGGATTTTTCTGTGCTGAGATGGGAACAGCATGGCCTTAAGTGGCTTATTTTTCTCTTTACTTTGTCTCTTTTTGTGTGTTTCAGATGAATAAGGTCACATTCAGCTAGAATCAGATACAAGTTTCCCTCAGCTTTGCAAAGCCCAAGAGTCGCTGCTGTTATCAGTGTTATATGAATACATCAGAACTTATATCAGTTTCCCAGGAAATTCATAGAATTAGTCAGGGAATTAATAGGGGTTATTATTTTCCAAAACAAAATTTTTGCAGGGAAGATTTCTCCTATATTAATTCTCCTATATTGATTTTATTTAATGAAAATTATAGGATAAGGTCAAGAATGCACACTGATAAATGATATTATAATTATAGTTAAATGTTATCATTATCTAGATTTCTCCTTGTAGTTAACTGTTGTAAATCGGGTTTGTTCTTATTTGTTCCTAGAATATTAACTAGGGTTCTTTTTTTAATTTAATTATAAGGATACAACATTAATTTCTTTCTCTTCTTCTCTTTTGGCCTTTTCATGCAGCTGAGAACAAAAACCAGAAGGTATTCAATGTGGGTGAGATCATAAGGCTGATGAAGTTTCCTGGAGTGATGAGAATCTTCCTTATCAAAATCATCACAGGTTTGCCATCAGGTGAGAATAGCTGTTTTATTCCTAAATCATTATATTCATTTACTCTGCAAAATGTAATGCTCCTAAATACAATCAGCAAATATGGCCAATACCATCTTTTTGTGCAAAATATACAACAAGATATTCCTCAACATTGCCTTGATAATTAGTTATATAGGGAATCCTGTCTAATCCATCTCTGCGTTTGAGCAGTTTGGTGAGTGTTAGACAAATATACTTTATTTAGGGAAACTCAGTGAGTAATGGAAGCATTTTTATTTGTAGTTTTTCAGGTTAGTGGATGATATTCTGTTGATCAACCCTATAATCCTGTCAGAAATGTTCAAACTTAATTTTTTTTTTAATCAAACCACAAAAAAAAAATTGAAGACTACTGAAAAGTTTAGCTCCAAAGTTGTACATTTGTTTTGAAACCTTTTCCCGGCATCTTATTAATCTCCAATCAAATGAGTTATCTTTAGACTGTTAGCTAATGTTTAACTGTGACACTGCTCTCTTTTTTCACTTCTATTTTTAGCTTAAAATACCTAAAGAAAAACAGCACACAGCATGCATACAGTGGACGATGTATTGAAGGATTAAAGTTGTTTCCTAAGTATTTGTTTTTTCTTCTGATGAGCTTCTTCTTCACATCCTCCATAGCAAAAAAAAGTGTTCTAAGTGTAGAATAAATGTGTTCCTTCATATACATATATTCATATATTTTTTCTCTCTCTATTTTCCACCTTATTTTGAGAAAAATTTACAAATGGTTAAAATTAAGTAGAAATTTTAAATAACAAAAAAAGCTGTAAGAAGCTAAATATACTATATGTTAAAGGTTTGCATTGTTTATTGTTAGAAAAATGCTTCAGTCTAATGTTGTGCTTCCTTAGGTATATTTCAGGTGATGTTTTCCGTCATTGTTATGGACTTCTTTAAGCTGGAGGCTCAACAGAATGGCTACCTGATGGCCTACTTTGGCATTGTTCAAATGGTAAAAATGAACAATTCCTAATGATTAAGGTTTTGGACTCTGACAGCTTCACTGAATACGAATGTGTTTTTCCAGGTTGTTCAGGGAGGAGTGATCGGTAGACTCACATCCAGATTTCCTGAAAAATCCCTTCTTCTTTTATCCATTGGTATTACCGGATCTGTGGGACTGGCTCAGGTAAATATTAAACTCACACTCACTAATTTTCAGTGCATTAGCAGATTATTTTTCAGGACCCTTAGAGTATGACTAATTTTGGACATAACTAAGTTTTCTTTCTTGATGCAGGCTTATATGCAGACTGTGTTGCATCTCTGCATCACCGTCACACCTTGGGTCTTTTCTCTCAGCTTGTTTGGCGTTATCACCGACACCATGCTCACTAAAAGTGTCCCTCCCTCTGATACAGGTAGTTTTCTTCAGCTTCTCTTATTTTGCTTCCCAGAAATAATTTACCAAGCAATGATTCTGTGAAAGGATTCCTGTGCTGCTATTTTAACTGCACCTTTAAAAACATAAAGGAAGAATTACCCAGTAATATTTTTTTAATACATTAACATTGTGATCCTTGTTTGCTCTTGTTTTTAGGGACGATGCTGGGACTGTGTGCATCTGTCCAGTCCCTGATTCGGACCATCGGACCGACTATCGGTGGTTTCCTGTACATGAACTACGGCCTCCCCTCTATAGGGCTACTTGAGTTTTTTGTGAACCTTGTTGTGTTTGTGTATCTGCTGTACCGACAACTCAAGAAGGCAGAAAAACATAAAGAATGAATTTGCCATTCACTCTTTCAATGTTTTACATTTTAAGAACAAAGAACCAGAGGCAAAAAGAAGAACATTGCTGTTTAGTCGTAGAAACAGCAGTTTAATGTTATGCTGTAATTCTCCATTCAAGCCAGACAAGTTTTAAATCCATGACTCTGTTGTTCAGGTAGAATCCAGTAGATGGCAGTAAAATATCCAAGTAATTGTACAAGTTTCTGTTTGAGGTTTTCATTTTCAAGGCCTCCCCTGAGAATGTTTTAAATCATGATATTTGAAGTAATTAAAGACATCCCAGATTTGTATTTTTTGTAGATTTCAAAAAATGGCTTATACTGTTATGTAATGGATCTATTAAAATCAAATTTTAAAGCATTTATTAATTAAAGGCAGTATTTTGATAAACAGCTATTACTGCAGCCTGCATTTGCTCTACAAGAACATCTGTTTCTAGCAAATACATGCTTTAAAATCACCTTTTAAACACTTATGCAGCATAGTCGTACTCATCTTTATGTGTTCTGGAAAATGAAAGACTTTTATAATTTTAGAGTTAAAGATCAAGTTAATCTTGTAAACAACGACGCACATAAAGTTATTATAGTTTTTTATAATCTCTCTTTGTTGTAATACTAGTGTTTTCCTCATCTGTTAAATTTCATTTGTGTGTTTTGTTTTATAAACTATGTTTAAAGATGTTAAATGAATTGCAGTTCCTCATGATCACACCAGGGGGCAAACTTCTTAAATCAATAAAATGAAGTAATAAAATATATCTTTTTCTCTTTGTACCTTGATTGACATCAACTTTACTTTATCCAAAGTCAGAAGAAAATAATGTTTAATAGCTGCTCATCAAGTAGAACTTATATTACATCATAAAATAGAGCCTAAACTAATCTAAAGGTCACTTGTTGTGCTGAACATTTCTTTCTAAATTCTCTAAATTACCTGTTAGAAAAATATCTGAAAGGTTTTATTTCTAAAATGAACATAGAATAGGATTAACTGGAAATCAGCCAACAGGATTACAAACCTATCTTTCTAAACTTGGTCGGGGTGACTCACCATGACTCACAATGCTTTATCTTTTACCAAACCAGTGTGCCAGTGTGATATTTGAATAAAAAAATGAAAGAAACCATCCAAAATTAGTCACTGAAGAGAAAAAAAGACCAAAAGGGGAAGAGCGGTAGTACACAAGCAGCTTGTAAATTCTTTAAAACTGATAGAACTGTAAGCTAATTGAAATTTTCCTAATTCTGTCTTTAAATTGAGATTTTCTTTAAATGTAACAAATGAAATGCCTCCAACCATAAAATTAATCATTTGACAAAGGAATGAGCATATAATCTCTCTGTCCATTTTTTAGCTGTGCCCTTCTGCCAAGCCGCAGCATGTTGCAATGATGTCATAAAATCAGCAGCAGGTGTTTTCCTTGTTCCCCTTCAAAGCACTTTATTTTTAAAATATTAGATCCAACAAACCCAGATAAACTGATCTTATTGTAACAGAAGGTTAAACTCATTATGTTGATCAGCTTCTCCATGAGCAGATACAATTCTGACTGAAAAACCCAAGAGAGCAAACTGGACAGCAGTTTTGGGAAAAAAGGACATAGGAAATAGTGCTAAAAGTGTAGCTTTTGTTTATAATAATTTCATAACAAAATGAACTGTTTTTAATAGTGTTGCACTGATACCAGTATCAGACAGGGCCCCGATACAGCAATAAAATGGTAGTATCGGTATCGGCGTGTACCAACTAATAGGGCAATGACCACGTTTTGAGACCCCACCAGATGCTTCAACTATTGCCCCCATTCCAGGTAGGCAATAAACAGTTCTACTGGATTCACTTTGTATGAGTGTTTTTCATTTTCCTTTTTTCAAATAGATGGTGTCGGTATGGTGTCGGTATCGGCCGATACTACACAGCCAGGTATTGGTATCGGGGCCAAAAAACAGTATTGGCGCAACACTAGTTGTTAATGAAATTTTTTTATAAGTTTTAATTAGAGAAATGAAATAAGTGTTGCTGTTTATATTTTTAAATTGTAAAATCAGGAACCTTTTAATGATATTAAAAAGCAATATCTTTTTAGCATGCAGCGACAGACAAATAATATCCAAACAAGATACTTTACAACACAAATGGATCCAGTCATAAGGGTCACTTTAAATTAATCTAGTCCTATTCTGATTCAACCACTTATACTTCAATACAGCACTAGAACAGTAAAAGTCTAAACTAGTCACTTAAGTAAAGGTTTGTGAAAAAGCAATAAATCTTGTTCTTTGAAAGACATGTTGAAATATTCAAGATCCAGTAGCCTTGTGTAAAGGTTATATTTAGTAAAGCTTAGTCGGCAGGTCTTGACTAGCTGTTTAACCGGTCTGCTCTTTAATATGATCAGGCGTCTCAGTGGGAATCCCATCATCTGAGTCTGATCCCACACCAGGGTCATTACTCGCTGTAGGCTGAACACACTTTTCGTAGAACGGTTGTCCAAGTCCCATAAGCTTATGAATCCTCCGCCTCTGCCTCCCTGTCTGACAGACTCAAAAGCTGGGGGCGGATTTGTAAAGTGTCACTGTATCTGTGGCCCCTGCAGTGGAAGGGGGGGTCCTGACCACTGGAGGGGGTGCCTTGTTACACTTGGCCCTTTGAGCCAAAGGGAGCAGGGACAATGGTGCTGTTAACACTCCTGACGGGGACCTTTGGGTCCTCTGAAAGTTTAATGTGACTCTGTGAGCGACCTGCGCTCACTGAGGTCAGAGATGAGCGCAGCCCGGCGACGCTCCGAGGCTACCTTGTGTTTGCACATTGGAAACTAAATGCCAGTGGGGGGGCCCTGAGTCCCGGGCTTGTTTTGTCCCCTGCGGCATGGATAATGAGGCATCTGTCTCCACCTGCCTCATGGAGAGATGAGGCTCACTGTCTCTCTTAAAAAGAGCACAGGTTGTCTATCTGATTTGACCACAGCAGGCCAGGCATATGATCTGAAGCAGAGGAGCCTTGAGGTCTAAATGTTTTATACTGTGGCTTTCTTATCTCTGTTTAAAGACCTCCACACGATGCAGGAACACTTTACTCAGCGTCTTCTTAAATGCATCCAGGAAATTACAAACACATCAATCAGACATTAGGAACTCAGCAAGAGCGAAGAGTTTCTACCAGTGAAAACTACCAGCGACCATAGCTTATATCTGTAATGGATTCATTGGTTGAATTTTGCAACAAACAAATGAACCCAAATCCCCCCCAGCAGGTCGTCGTACCCTCCACAGCTCCCTTCTCGTGGAGCTTGCAGAGTTAGTTGGCCACAAGAGCGAAAGGTGATCTTAGAGAGGTTTTGTCTTGCTGTAATCAGACAGACATCATCAATCATTAGAAGGGGAATTACTGCTGGTTAACAATAAGAGATAAGATAATGAGTGGGGAGACAGAGACCCAGTGAGGGACAGCTGGAGTTCTGATTACACGGCAGAAACCAACTCCAAGGTGAAGAAGAGAAAAAAAGGAAATTCATTATTAAGTTTCGGGTCTTCATGCCTGTAACTGTAGTCATTTTTTTGATAGATAACATCCTCAACCACTTCTAGTAAGGTAGAGAGGTGATGTCAAGAAAGAGATACTAACCTAAATTTGCTAAAATGTTCAGTTAGTGTTATAAAATCAAATAGGTTGAATTGAGACAAGCAAAATGGTTGAGGATTATGTTCATTTTACTTTGGTTCACGATGTGGAGACAATGAAAAAAATGTCAAATGCATCATGGTGGAGAACTGTATTAATGGTACTATGATACTAAGAACTGGGACACAATCTCTGAGGTGATACTGTAGATGTTTCTTACTCGTGGACACTTGTGTTCAAAACCATTTTAGGCTATCTGCATGTCTATTGGTCATTTCAAAGGCATGTGAGTAAGAAAACCCTTCAACATGTAAGTTTGTGCAGTTTGTTAAATTCTACTTGGTCTTTAATTGCAGCAACTTGTTCTGATCAGATGAAACTAATGCTAATGTCCACACTGTAGGGTTGACCTCATGTGTCTTTTGAGGTGTAGTTGAGGAGCTATGATGCTGTGGGCCCAAACATTCCAGGAACCATTTAAGAGATAATAACTTAACCCTTTATAAGGCAAGTTACCATTTTTGATCTTTTGCATACCCCTTATAAATGGAACCCCCCCCCCGTCCCTCAGTGAGGCCTAGAAACACAAGATCTATATCCAGACATTCAGCAGAGATAATTATAAATGGCTGTACATCTTATTTTGGCAATTAACCAATTAGACAAGGCTTTAATTGATATATTACCTACTGTAAATTAAGTTAAAAAAGAAGTTAACCAGTCAAGAAAAAAGGTAAAAGGTTGATTGAAAAGTTTAAAAGTAAAATAAAAAAGTTAATAAGCCAAGTTAACAATTATATTTAGGTTTATAAACAAAAAAAAATTAAGTGCCAGTCAGTATTAAAGGAATAGTACACCCAAAACATGATTAGCCTTCATTTTCTACTCACCCCCATGCTGAACAACACTCTGGAGTACTTTTTTGATATCTCAAATGCATCTGGAGATCTGGGAGGCTTCTTGCTGTCTGCTGACATTCAAATAATGGAGGTCTATGGTGACCGAGACAGAAAGGTCCATAAAAGTCCACAAAAAACGTGTCAATATTCCTCCATACTGCTCGTCCAATGTATTCCAAGTGTCCTGAGTGGGTAGCATCCAGAATTTACTCGAAACGAAGTCATTTAGAATGTTTTTAGAGCATAAACAGTAGTGTATAGGATTTCCTGAAAGCGCGCGCCTGCGCGTTCACGACGCTACGGAAGCCGGCAGACCAAACCAGATGAAAGTGCGCATTCAGCGTCTGCTCTGCCAATAATGCAAGCGTAGAAGAAGAAATGTGCTGTTTACCTGTGCAAAGAAAGAAACAACAAAAGAAAAATGTCTGAGGACTTCAGTGTTGAGGAAGAGCATGAGTTCTTTGCCGAGCTGAATGCGCTGGTTTGGTCTGCCGGCTTCCGTAGCGTCTTGAGCGTG